TATACATGGTCGGTTTTTTTCAGCTAAAAACGCCTAATTATACATGGTCGTTATTTTCGGCTCAAAATGCCTTCCTGTACATGGTCGTTTTTTTTTCAGCTAAAAACGCCTTACTATACATCAGGGCTGTATAACATACGGCCGGAACCGGCCCGCAGGGAGGTTTGATCGGGCCGCAAGATAATTTAAAAGTGAAAAAAATGCACAAATGACACGGAATGAATATTTTTAATAACGTGCAATTCATGGAATATCCGCTAGGCGGACACAGTCTGTTGATCAGAGGAAAAGACAACATTGTTTTCATCAGAGAAGAAGACAACCGCAGCCTCTGTCTGTCATTGACAGACCCAACACAGCAGACGCTATCAAGGACGTGAATACTTTATTCTTTCCACATATTTTGCACTCTCTTTAGTTTGTAAGGTGTAGGCAGGGATTACATTTAGATTTCATATGCTCGTGTAAATGGTTTAAAAATTTCTTTATAAATCTCGTTTAATCTTAAAAATGCATTACTATATTTTTCAAGACCAATTACTTGTTCACGTTTTGTTCCTTTGTACAGTCAGTGGGATCAGTTGCAATACATATATGTGAATGATAAAAGTAAATTGCACATTTGTCTAAGGAAATCTTGTAAAGATATGTTCATTAAATTTGAATATATTCCTTGTGTTCTTGTGCATCTTTAGACCAAAACAAAGGAAAGACATATTATTTTGGTTATTTATAACAGAGTATGGTATATTTTTTAATGGTCCGGCCCACATGGATATTGTCACTTTTGTTTTTCCCCCAAAACAGTGCTTGGTGAACTGCTCCAAAGTGATAATGGGGAAAACTGCTTCATTCAGGGGTGGGGGGTCAACACCGATGTCCGCACTGCTTTCGTTTTTATTGGCAAATTGGTCACAAGAAGCAATCGAGTGTACAGAAACACTGGAAAAGAGAGGAAAACAAAACACTAGTAGGAAAAAATCAACTTCGACTTAATCAAATGTCACACAGGTGGAGCGCCACACCCACTTTCCAACGCCTGCGTCAAAACTGTGGAGAACTTCAGCAGGCTGCACGCACGCCCGGACACACACACACACACACGTTTGTCTTGAGCACTTCTGAAAAGCCGAGACGCACAAACAGTTGCGGGTTCCCACAAAGGGAATAAGTAAAATGCTTCTTTATAAAAGAAAGAGTTCTATAACTGTACAGAACATTTACACACACCGTCAAGACAGCGAGCACAGTAAAGAAGGGAAATCATGTCCAGAAGTATCACAGACTCTGGCTCTAGCACCCTTAACTCCCACCCGACACATGCAACGCATCTTTCCCCCGATGAAACTTCCCTCGCTCGGCCCAATTTCGACCCGTCCTAGACCCAGAATAAGCCCCCCCCATGCAGCCCAAAGAAGGTGCCATCTCTCGGTTGGGCCGGCCGTTCTGGTCCAGTCCGTTGGGGAGTGGCGCAACGAGAGGGCTCGTCAGGTAACCGCCCGCAAATAAAATAAAGGGGTTAAAACAAAAACACAATCTGAAAGTCTTCTGGCCCTCAGCCAGAGTCGGACTCGCTGGTGTCGGAGGATGATGAGGATGAGGAAGACGAGGAGGAGTCTGAGGAGGAGCTGCTGGCACTGAGGCGTGACGGCTGAGTGCTCGACTCTGCGGTCGGTTTCTCCACTACAGATTGAGGAAAAAAACACGAGGGTCATTGGCGAGAGGAATCTTCTTTTTGTGATCGCTAACAGGGAACTTATGTAGGCTCAAAACATTTTTGGCATAATCCTCAAACAACCAAATTTCAACAAGTTCAAGGTTTGTCCTTCTTTGTCGGGGAGAAAACTGACCATTGCCCGTTGAAACCTTTTGTATGGATGTTAAAACTCAAGGCAAAACAAAATGCTGATATTTGCGCTTAAACGATCCCCTTTGCATCCAACTTGCCTCAATAGTTAATTTCCCGCAGACATTTGGCAAGCCGCGGGACCACTCGCAGAAAGTACAAACACGACTTACACTTGGCTTTGGCGGGCTTCTTGCCAGAGTTGAGCTGCCCGCTGACATCAATCAGCCTTCTCTCGAGCTCCAGTTGTTTCTCCAATGCCAGCTCCTCCCGTGACTTTCCGGCGCTGTTCTTGATGGCTTTGAAGGGAAGGCACAGGTTAGATAACATACAAATAAGCCCCCCCCCCCCCCTCACAAGGCGTACTCACCGTAAGGCTTGCGCGGCTTCTTCCGCAGGCATGTCATGACATAGCGCTCCAGCTCTCGCAGCGTGGAAGGCTTGAGCGTCTCAAAGTCGATCTCGATCTCCTCCGGGTTGGTGTCTCGGAGGGACGGCTCTCGCGACTGGATGATGTAAACGACGCGGCCCAGCTTCTCGCCGGGCAGCTTGTTGATGTCCAGGCTGAGCTGCCGCTTCTCGTCGTATGACATGGGCGCGGTCTCTTCCTCCTCGTCAGAGTCGAAATGGTGCATGAGGGGCTCCGGGATGGCCGGCGGCACGCTGAACATCACGCCTCCCTTTTTGGACCTGCCACAGAAGAGAAAAGAGTGAAAGTCGGGTTGCCGAAAAATGAAGTCCTCAAAGGCCTCGTCGCGTTTTACAACCGCGTCACACAAACTCGCAGTACCAGCGCTGCCCGGCAGGTGTCAGCACTCACTTGCTCTTGTTGTTTTTCTTGCTCTGGCTCTTCTTGATTGGCATCAGGGTTCCCGCGGCCTTGTTGCTCTTAGTTTTGGGAGTTTTGGCAACTTTGGAGGGCTTGGTGGGCCTGATGGAGACCAGTTCTTCTTCCACCTTTGGGTGCTTCTCGCCTTTCCTCCTCTTCTTCTTCTTGTCCTTCTTCTCCTTCTTCTTCTTGGGTTTCAGGTTGGGGCCCTGAGAGAGCGCCGTGAGCTGCTCGTGGACGGCTTTCAGCTGGGAGGGCGGGAGGGGAGGCAAGCGAGTCAGAAAATGGCGGGCGACGCACATGGCGGGGCCTCGCTTTCACCGACGCTACCTGCTCCTGAAGCTCGGCCAGGCGGTTGGCTCGCTCCTCTTCGGAGTCCGAGCTGGGGCTGCTCTCGCTCTCGCTCTCCTCGCTGCTCAGCTCGCTCTCGGAAGACGACGAGGACGAGGAGGAGGAGGAAGACGAGGAGCTCGGGGGCGCCGGCTGCTCGTCGGGCATTTTGGCAAAGCAGAACTCAAAAACATCCTGAGGGAGGGTCCAATTGTCACCATTGGCCACCAGGGTCAGGTTACACACTTGAGCTGTCACTGTCTCCCATTACTCCCCCACCTTCAATGCAAGCTAGATGCGACAAATGAGACTTCCAGCTTACCTGAAGCTTACGAGCCATTGTCACCACATCGTGATCGGGGGGGTTGTACTTGTAACAGTTAGAGAACATCAGTCTGATGTCGGCCGAAAACTGCTGAGCCTCCGCATACTCTCTGCTGTCCATCTTCCTCTGCGCAGGCCACAAGACACATTCATGTTAGGAAATACGATAACTTTTTTTTTTTTTTTTTTACTCGACTAACTAGCGAGCACTTGCTGGTGTACCTTGATCGTGCTGAGGTCCATGGGCTGCTTGATGATTTCGTGGTAGTCGTGGAGCCCGAGCGAGGAGGCGTCAACGGGTTTGTAGAAGGGCCAGGCGTAGGCGGCGTGCTTCTTGGACAGGAGGTCCTTCAGGACGCCGCTGCAATAGCGCAGCTGGGGCGTCAGCTTGCTGCGACGCACCGGCGTGGGCAGGATGGAGTCGGGCAGGTCCTTCTTGGGGGGCTTGATGGGCCGCCCGCTAACTCCTCTCCTGAACCCTCCGGGCGCTTTGTTACCCATCATGACTTGCCCGTGATCCGCGTTGATGCCCATCGCCTGGTTGAGGGCCAGGCCCTGGTTGAGGCCCAGACCCTGACTGAGGCTCAAGCCCTGGCTCAGGGCCAGACCTTGGCCGAGGCTCAGGCCGGTGTCGTGCTCCACCCCGAGCGCTGTGAGGGTGAGCGCGGAGTCGTGCCCCCTGCCAAGGCCTAAGCCCATGCCACCCACGCTCATGGAGGTCATGAGGGGCATGGCCACCGTGGTCGGGGTGGTGGTGTCGGCTTTCCTCTTCACGCCTTTTTTCTGCCATTAAAAGAAATGAGAAGCGTGTCACGAGTCTGACTTTTTTTTTCTACTAACAACACAAAAAATTGTGCCTATCTCAACATTTTTATTTATTCTGCGAACCTTTCATGCATCATTTCTTGCATTAGAATACAAAAAAAAAAAAAAAAAATGCAGATTAGCTCTTCCCCATGGAGAGCCTCACCTTGGTAGTGGGCTGCGTGGGAGGGGGGCCGGTCATTGAGGGCTTCCGTGACTCAATATAAGGCACATTAGAATCAATACAACACGACACCGACGTGATGTTTAATTCGCATTAGCTTTAAGGGGGGAATCAGATCCGAGAGCAAAAACATCAGTCTTTTCAATCTGTGTTGTTGGGAACTCACCCGAACTTCCCCTGCCCCGCTTTCCCACTTTGATGGGTCTGCTGCGCGCAGGGGGCGGGCTCAGGTCCACCTCCTCGGGCGGCATCTGAGCCACCTTCTGTAGCTTTCACTCTTGTTCCGTGACTCAATACAAGGCACATTAGAATCAAGACAACACAGACGTGATATTTAATTAGCATTAGCTTTATGGGGGGAATCAGATCCGAGAGCAAAAACATCAGTCTTTTCAATCTGTGTTGTTGGGACCTCACCCGAACTTCCCCTGCCCCGCTTTCCCACTTTGATGGGTCTGCTGCGCGCAGGGGGGGGGCTCAGGTCCACCTCCTCGGGCGGCATCTGAGCCACCTTCTGTAGAAATGCTTTCTCCAGCGACTGGGCCATCAAGACGATGTCATCAGATGGCTGCGAGAGACGCACATTTGGTGGGTCGGCGATGGAAATCGTGCGACGCGGGCAAATGGCAACGCTCGTACCTTGTTGTAAATGTAGCAGTTGGTGAACATGGTGTTAAAGTCCTGCATGCATTCACTGGCACTGTAGTAGTAGTTGCTCTCGAGCCTCCTCTTGATGGTGCCCAAGTCCATTGGGATCTTGATGATCTTGTGATAGTCCTAGAGAAGCATCGTGCGTCAAGTTCCACATTCAGTTTTTGCAACAAAACCTCCCTTAGTTTTTTGTCACCGTTTAAAAAATACCAGTTAAAATTGTGTCGCAGGATTTAGGGGGGAACGAAAAAAAAAAAGCATTCAACATTTCTGAAGCTGAGTGAATAAAAAGAATACATTGAAATGAACACAATTTAATACACCAAGTGTATGATTTTTTTCCCAATTAATGCATGAAATAATATGACCTCTATCATGATGCAGGTGCTCGGCGAGCCAAGTTCAAGAAAGTTCCACATTCAGTTTTTGCAACAAAACCTCCCTTAGTTTTGTTACAGTTTAAAAAATACCAGTCAACATTGTGTCGCGGGATTTAGTGGGGAACAAAAAAAAAAAGCATTCAACATTTCAGAAGCTAAGTGAATAACAAAAAATACATTGAAATGAACACAATACACCAAGTGGAGGATTTTTTTCCAATTAATGCATGAAATAATATGACCTCTATCATGATGCAGGTGCTCGGCGGGCCAAGTTCAAGAATGGGGCTTGTAGATGAGCTTTGCCCACCCCCATTCCTAAGACCACCAACCGCTTGCCCTACTGGCCGCTGTTATGATGCATACTCACAGGCAGGTTGAGCTTGACGGCGTCCACCGGCTCGTGGAAAGGCCAAGCAAAGTGGTGGCGCCACAACGACTTCAGCAAAACCTTCTGCAGGAACTGCAGCTGGTTGGTCATCTTCCCCCGTCGCCCGGGGTCTTTCACCAGGGACTGTGTGGGGCCAGGGCCGGTCGTCTGGCTGTGCGGGGGCATCCCCGGGCTCTCAAATCCTTCGTAGAGCAGGGACGGTTTCCGGATCCTTTTCCCGGCCGCGCCGGAACTCTGCTCCAGGGCCGTGATCCCCATTAGGCCGACATCTAGCCCGCCATGGGAGCTGCGGAGAGCACAGTGCGGCATCTTAGCAAGGCTTTGCGGCAAGAAGGTATTTCGTACTCCATCTAAGTCTTTGCCTCACTCCGCCTTAAAACGCAAGTGGAACATGACATCACTCAAGAGAACAAATGGTGAGTCTACAAATCCCGTATTGCTGAGTAATTCTGACCAAACAGCACCCCCTACTTCGCCTTTCTTACATCGACACCGTTTACATCTGGAAACGGATGCACCTCTACCATGTAAAAGTCATGGCTGGAAAGTTTGACATTTCCAACAGAAAGCCTCAAGATCTTTGATGCACTACTCATTTATCAAGAGTTGGCTTTTTGCCCAGGTGGCAGTCATCTTGTCACAGGAAGTGCTGCTTTGACCTGCAACGTGCCCCCCCACCATTCTCTACTGCCTCCAGTGGCCGCTTTGAAAGTACAAGTAGCTGGGGGCATTTCAATCTGCCGTTATTGTGTTTATACATACACCTTTGTCAACAGCAGCATGCAATTACAGCAGCAATGTCATTCTGCATCACAGGGGGGTTGGGGGGGAGGCACTTTTGGGATTTTTAATCACGTGCCGTGTGGAATTTTTAGGGCTGGGTAGATGAGGGAAGCAGGGGATAGAATCTTTTAAAATACCTCAACATCTGGTAGTAGTCAGCAATTTTTGAATGAGAGCCTTTGGAAACATTTGACAGTTAATATGCTTTATTATGATTTTTTTTCTTCAAAGTACAACATGGAAGTAAACATATGTAAGCCCAAGTCATTTAGCTCATGGTCACAACAAAAAAAAAAATACCAGCTTTCTTTCTAACAAATAGACATTTTTCATCATGTCTCTGTAGATTCACAAGTCATGGTACTTTGCAAAGGTTAAATCGGGGGAACTGGACTCTTTGTTGAGTGCGTTTTTCTGGTTTCCTGAAAGCATACAAAAACGACTTGGTGACGACGCTATTTGACGAACCGAAGAAATATTGGTGCAAAATTAGGTAAAAGGGGAGAAATAAATCAAAGAATTTTACTCTTAATCTTAAGTGACAGTGGGCGCCGTAACCGGGGCAACAGATCTCACAAACCAGTCCGGTGGTGGTCAAGTAGCATCATTCACCACCACCGGGGCTACAATCAAAACAACCCGGCGAATTTGGAGAATAACGGGCGCTTTGGACGAGGGAACCCGATACGTCGTTACATCAATAATAATGCGTTAATTACGTTTCTCAGCGGCACATTGGGCTCACAGGAACGACGGGCGAATACAACAGGATTGCGGGGAGCTAATGCTAACGAACAAGGCTAGCGGCAGCGACGCGAATATGGCGCCGGCGTCACGCAAACCCCAACAGACATTTTACACATATTTTAGTCTCGCGTCATATACTCCGCGTCCGATGTCCGTCAAGAGTCAACATTTCCCGTGTGCGCGTCATTTTCTCCGGGGGAACCTTGCGGCACGCTCATACACGCAGAGCGGCCGGCAGAGTCCAACATCTCGTCTCAATAAAACGAAGATTCGTGACAACATTTTGTCAAATATCGCATCCGATGGAAAGCTGAGAGGCAAGTTTACCAGTAGATACCTGTCAATCAGCGGGTTTACGGCCATATCCATGAGGATGGATCCGGATTGCGTTTTGCTATATTCAATCCAGTATCCGGTTCTGTTCCGCTTCCTGCGTTTTTTTTTTTTTGCCCCTTTTCTTTACCGGCGCTCTCCAACTGCAACGTAAACTTCCTCTTCCTTCGTGGAAATGGCGCTCGTCTCCCTACGCCAGCTGCTTTATAAACCCACGAGTCACCCTATTGGCCACGCGTGCTGAAAACGTCCCCGCCCTCTGAGTTGCGATTGGCTCATTGCGTTGCAAGGCTACCTCACCACACCCCGAAACGGCCGGTTAAGCCTTTGAGGTGAAAAAAGGCTTAAAAGCACGTCCTTTCATGTAAAGAGAATCGCGCAAAACCGTGATTCACTCTTTGTGGCCTTTCTCACCCTAAATCGTGTTCTTTCCTTCTTCGTGATTACGAGCACGCAAGGACGTTGAAAGCGCCTCCGAACTTGAAGGTCTTACATTATGTCAACGTATGCAAAGCAAAGGCGGTGATTGGCCACTGCGTGCGTAACGCGGGCTTTCTGTGCGCGTTTTCTCAAGCCGATTGGTCGAGCCGCGGGACGACGCAGCCACCAGCCAGTTCAGGCTTCTCCCCACTTACCAGAAGATCAGCCGCAGAGGGGCGCCGGTCGCCATCTTAAAGCACGACGACGACGGTTTAAATTACTGAATTGTGCTCAGGGATCAGAATAAATTTCCCGAACGATATCTCTAAACACACACTACGTGTGACAAACGAACCGAAACGACACCGACGATCGTGGTTTGCCTTAACTGAAAGACACAAACGGACGGAATGACATAGAACATGACCCGCGTGGCCAACAAAGAATATATTATCGAAACGGTTACTCAAACGTGGCGACATCATAAAAGAAAAAAAGGTGGCGATCAAAATAGCTTTTATCATAAAGTTCAATGACTGCATGCCGGGCAACCGGAACAACAGGATGACGCAGCAGTTTAATCACCGGCTTAGAACTACTTGAATTGGAAATGGCTGCCAATTTCTTTTACGCCCGGTAAAACAATTCGCACTCTTGCTAAACGCGTTACGTCACCAATAGTACAACCTGGTAGCAAATAGCTAAAGTTAAATCTATCCGTAACATCACAAAACAATGCCTACATGCAAGAAAACTAAACCAAACGCCCCGACAACAAATTCGTCCAACGTGTCAATGGTTACCCAATCACATGCGCCCATCCCCCATTCCCCAAGGTTACAGACGACCAACAATGTCACTGAAACATGCTAATCAAACCACAATATGAATACACTACAAAAAAACGAAAGCAGTGTAGTGGTGCGGGATATTTTGTGATCAGAGTGAAATTTTGAGAGATAAGAGATGTCCAAAAAAGTATACCCCCCAAATCCTAAGGATTCAAATAAAGACAAATGCCGATTGGTAAATCCAAAAAATACGGCGAAACTTGTCTTGAAAACATCTTCTGGTCTTCCAACTCGATACTTTTTTTACGCAACATATTCCCTCCAACATGTCCGCCCTTCAACCATTCTTCGGGGAAGGGTGGGGGAGGGGAAATCACGTGACCAGATACACCCCGAATCCCAACAGTTGAGCCAAACTTGGAAACAATTGCTATGCAATTCAAATGACCCCATCCAACATGGGTCCCCGACGTGCTTATTTAAAGGGATGGGGTGAAGCGAAGAAAATCGTCCTCTTCGCGTCCCCCACGTGGAAATTCAGAAAATAATTCCTCTCAACAGTTTCGGGTTGAAACGCCAAAGTAATCCAAACAAAGAGCAGACTTCAATCGGGGCTAGTCTCTTGGTGATTGGCCAGCATTGGTCACGTGACAAGACGCGTTCTTTTTACCACTTTAATATCGATAATTTAACTCGTTGTCGTTTCTGCTAATCCCTCCTCGAAACAAGAGTCTGTAAAAGATCCAGTTTGTGCAGCAGAAGGTGTTAGTAGCGTCCAAATTGTCCCAAAAGATGACAGCTCACGAGCTCAGTCGTGTTGCGTATAGACAAAGCACTACGCATGCGCGCCCGTCACTGCAATGGAGGCCGGTGAGATGACGCAATCGTCTTGCTGTTTTTTTGAACCGTATCAACAAACGTGGAGTGAATGAGAACAATATTTTTCTCCCTTCTAATAATATAAGAAAACACGATATTTCGCTTTTGATTCTAGGCAATAGGAGTAGTACAATATGTGTCCTGTAAAGTTCTTATACCGTTTCTTGTTGTCACGTTGAAACCTCCCAACTGATAATAACTTAGATTCATAATACAGTACATCATTTAAGGGACTTGGGGATGATTAGGACATTGTTCTAAGTCAGCTGCTGTGTAAGTGTTTGGAATATTATAATTAGATTCATTTTACGACATTCGATTAAACAATTACTTTTTGCATGTGCTATTTACAAAAATAAGTTCACCAATTACTTCACGAAATAAAAAGTGACAAATAAATGAAGAAATAGATTTTATTAATACCACTGTCTCTTTTAAGTAGTATTACTGCGACCCGTCATTTCATTTTTTTTCCCCTGATGGTTTGAAACAACTTGATTAAGCACTTGTCTTTGTTGGCCATCGGAAAGTCTCAATTTCGATTTACAGTATCCTCAAATACAATTAGTGAGCATCTCGTTTGTATTCATGCTTTTTGATGGTTCATTGAACTCTTGTCTTTTCAAAATGTTGATTGAGCACTTGTCTTTGTTAGCCATCGGGAAAGTCCCAATTTCGATTTACAGTATCCTCAAATACAATTAGTGAGCATCTCGTTTGTATTCATGCTTTTTGATGGTTCATTGAACTCTTGTCTTTTCAAAATCTCCTGTTGTGAAAGAATCACTGCCTGAGTACCCACCACGTAGGCCCACGTGACGGCATGTAAAAGTGAGTTAGTTAATCATGATGGGTGGTATTTGGAGGGACACATTCTTTTGTCGGTGGTACCTTAAGTTTGAGAGCCACACTCTTTAAACAATGCGTGTCATTGTATCTTGATTTGATTTATTGCCCAGCCAGAGCTGTAATTCACTGACGAGCACCGTGTGCACAAGATTTGTTTAAATTCAGGTAGAGCAGGTCCAGTCTGCACCGGGCCACTTTGTATGGTTGGTGCGGGAGGTGGCCTAGAAGGAAAGGACGACGTCACGATCAGGCGCCTCTGACTCATCAGTCGTCTCTCTCTCTCTCTCTCTCTCTCTCTCTCTCTCTCTCCTTCTCTGACTCACCAGACTTTAGGATACAGTGAGCCATTTCCATGTGAATGGTATCGCAAACGACCTTTTCTATCACACTGGAAACCCTCAACGCAGGCCCAGGAGATCACTGAGATGGGATAAAATGACACGAGATGAACATGCTTTCTCATCCATCTGGCACCCTAAATCCTGTGAGGCTTGTGGTCTTGTACTTCCCTCATGTTTAAAGAAAGACGCTAAACACACCCTGATTCAACAGATCCAAAGGAGAGAAAAGAAGCTACCGATGACCTTCGGGGTGGCCATTAAAAAGCTTTTAATCTCGAAACCAGTCAATATCAGTTTGGTACATGCATCAATAGTGTTACGCAGACGCCCTCTAGCGGTACATAAAATCATCACTGCCCTTGAAGAGTTCAATTTACTGTTGAACTTTGATCGTGCATTCGAAAACCACTTTGTCTTTACATTCTCTTCTCTCGTGTTTTATTGAGTTTTTATGCGATACGATGCTAATTTTCTTTACTCGGGACGGATAACAAAAACAATTGTTTGGGGGGGTTTTGTTCCAATGAATAGAATTTCCGTTTACTTCAGTGGGAAAAATAAGTTTGACATGCAGGTCGATTGAGTTACAAACTTGGTCACGAATGACTGAGTGCTGAGTGCATGTTTAGAGGCATGTGCTCTTGGTTAAAAAAAACACCCAACACTGATAGTGCACTATATCAAAATTCTGCACCTAATGTGAAAACAATGAATTCGAAAGGGGGGAAATCTACACAAAAATGGCATTTTTTTTCAAATGACAGTTTCACCAGTAGATGTCGCTCATGGCCTATGAACCTCTCAAAAATGTCGCCATAGCCGTTGCATGTGTAAGTTAAGGGGTTCGTTGTTTCTGAAGGGATGGCGCTACTTTACGAACGGCAAAAGGAGAGATGTATTCCTTTGAATGCAGTTTTATTGAAAGGGAAAAAAAGACGTCTGCACCTCAGCACGTTCAAGAACACAACAATTTCTTCCGGCTACTAAAACACTTCCTGTTTCCTTCAGCCAATCAGACGCTCTCAAGGCCTCGTACTGAGACCGAGAGTTTTAAGTCATGTACGTGGAAAGAAATCGAAACAATTGAATGCCAGCAGGTTTCTGGTAGGACTGCCGGAAGGCCTCCTACTGAGACCGAGAGTTTTAAGTCATGTACGCGGAAAGAAATCGAAACAATTGAATGAACCACGGAAACCATTTTTTTTCTGACGATCGCCTTACCGAAGTGCATGTAAATGCGTCAAATCACATTATTGATGATTCCCAGTTATGGGATTGCTGTGGTCATGCAGCCGACGAAGTTGTTGTTGTCCATCCATTCAAATGTGTTGTCGGACATTTTTATTTTCTGGACATTATTGGTGATTCCCAGTTTTCATTTTCTGTTTTAGTCGTTAGTCAAATCATGAAATGTTATATCAGAATGAATGAAGATTTTACCGTTAAAGAAACCTCACATATGAGCCTTTGTAGTCGCGTGGCTTCTCTTTCCTTTTCTTGTTTAAACTTCATCTGCGATGACCAACTCAAATGTGACCCGAGAACGGAAATGTTTGGATCAAGCATCACTAGATGGCGCTCTCGAGTCATGCTTTTCCTACCTTCCTCGAGCGCGCCTGTGTTGGTGTTTGTGTATCACAATAATCCGGCCAAGTATATAGAACACACGGAATTTGTCTCCGGTAGTATAGGCTGACACTAGTATTGCCGTAACAAGCAACTGTGATGAACGAGGACATAATACGCAAGTATCGAAAGACTTTCGGTCATGTGCGAGTGCCATGAGCAGAGATCAGGTGGTCAGTGGTGCAATACAATAGTGTGACAGTTGTGCAGTTGCTGCAGATCATCCTTGCACCATTTTTTTTTTTTTTTTTGTGACCTGTAGCAGGAAAAGTAGTCCACCTTCAGGTGTGCAATTCAGTGTCTGGTGCTGTGAAATATTGCTCAATGACAATTGTTCAAGGATGTACAGATGCCACTCGCAACTGAGAGGGCGATGCCCGATTTTGAAACTCATGACCTCAAACCCCGAAGAAAGCCGGGATGGGCTCCAGCACGCCCCGCGGTCCTTGTGAGGAGAAGCAGATCCGAAAATGGATGGATGGATGGCCTCAAAGTTGCATCGTTGCTCCTCAAGCAGAACCAAAAACCAAGAACAAAAACAAAGGAAGCTAATCCGATGCGAGGCAAGCAAACGTGAAATGCGTCGACGACGGGACGCTTGCGTTGTGTCGCGTTTGCAACTGTGGATGATGACTTGAAGTCATTCATCAAGCTGCTGTTGTCGTGGCTCTCCGCCAGCTTTCATGACAACCCAACAAAAGGCAAAGTGAGCGTTTTATTGCAACCGTGCCCGAAAGCAAAAACATCCATCGATGGGCATTTTCCTTCCGTGCAAAAACTCTTACAGTCCAGACAGGGGGTAGACAAATGTACCCTAGATGAAAAATGAAATCGTTCAGATTATTACACCGAATCATGTTGCAATTACTGACAGTAGATAAAATAGTCTCGTTTTTCTCATCTTGTTCGAGGATCTTTTTCATGACGAGTCACGCAAGATAATTGAACATGTCTGCTTTTCACGGTATTAATATTTTTAGTTGCTCATTTACACAAAATGACCGTTAAATCGTGTCTTTAAATTCTGAATATATCATGTCCTCGTGAGGATAAAGCGGTTCAAATAATGGATGGGTGGATGACATCTCGGACCCGAAATGTCACTGGAGGGAGTAAACAGGGCGGTCAAGCCTTTCAAGCCTCAAATGGACCCACGCCTCCGCTTTCATGCGAGGTCCCTCCGAAAGGGTGCGCCACACCCACTTGCTTAGATAAAACGAAAGTAAACAGAAAGCAGGGACTTTCCAGTCGGCCATTTTGCATCGCAGCTCTCAGTCCTGACATGGCGGCAGTCTCTTCCGTGCCATTTCCTCATTGCAGCCTGACTGCTGCTGCTATCTGGCGAATGTCTCTTGTGCAGGGGCAAGAAACGGGTGGTGCTTGAAGAAGGAAGGGAAACAAGGATTGGACATCAGATCGGATGAGACCCAAGATAAAACACAGAAAAATCGAGGGCCGGCACGGCACGCTGGCCCTCCGAGGAGGAATTTGGACGTGACATCCGGTTGCTTGGGAAGGAAGATTGGGTTGACGTGGCAGCAGGCGGAAGCTCGAACGTGATTGGGCCCAAATCTTCTCATCCTGAAAGACTTTCAGCGGAGAGAGACGACGAAATGAAGAGAATCGAGCGTTGGGGAATCGGCGAATGCCGTTTTCATGGATCGAATGCAGGACTCCAATTCAGGTTGCGAATGGGCCGGTCAGCGCTTCTGATCGTCCCGCCCCCCTGCCATTTTATAGTAGATTCCCTTCTGGTCCATCAGCTGGCGGTGGGTTCCTCGCTCCCGAACGCCACCGCCGCCGATCACCGCAATCTGGTCGATCGTCTCGGGCCTCTTCAACCTGTGAGTGATCAGCAGCACGCTTCGCTCAGAACGCCTCAACAGACCCTGCAGGACCTGTGCCGGGTGGGACAAACGGAGAACGTCTTGAGTCACATTTTTACGTTGAGGTCGCGTTAAGCGTCGTATGATGAGTTTGAGCTGGAGCTGGGGGCTGCGAGGTCCTCTCGCTATTCGAGCCCCGTCGGACTGGCACCTTGCGTTCGCTGGGCTCATCCAGGGAGCTGGTGACTTCGTCCAGGATGAGGACCCGCGGCCGTCTGACCAGCGCTCGGGCGATGGCCACGCGTTGCCGCTCGCTCTTGGACAGCAGGCCGCCCCCCTCACCGACCTCTGACAGACAATCACATCAGCGCGGCGCTCTTCTTCTCACCCGGACGCGCTCATCGGCAGAATCTCAAGTTCTGGCCCGTCCGATTTTAATGACGCAAGCCAAATCAAGCACGCCCTGTGCCCGCACGAAATGGTAACAACGGAGTTCACGTCGAGCCTCGGGCACGCCGAGGTGAGTTTTAGCAAGCCCCAAGTCTCCGAATCGGCGACGGCCCACGAGGCGGAAGTCCGTTTGCGCTCACCCGTGTCGTAGCCCTTCTCCAGCCGTGAGATGAAGTCGTGAGCGTTGGCCTGCCGCGCCGCTTCCTGGATGGCGTCCAGGGAGCAGTCCTCCAAGCCGTAGGCGATGTTGTGCCTGACGGAACCGTGGAAGAGGACCGGCTCTTGGCTGACCACCGCAATCTGCGTCAAAGCACGGCGCGAGACGGTCGTTTGGATAGTGATTGGGAAATGCGATGTTGGAGCGTGACGTTTGCCCTCGCCTCACGTGTGGAAGCTCGCTCGTAGCATATCGCGATCAAAAATAAATACATCAATCATACAATCATCCAAATCCCCAAACGTACGTTTACAGCCATACTGGTCAGCGACCCCACGAAAACGGCGGCTTAGGTTTTGGGCTTTCACCTTCTCGCTGAGATAGCGGCCGTCTTACGATCCCAGCTCGGCTTGGTCCAGCAGGATTTCTCCGTCCTGCAGCTCGTACAAGCGTTTGAGCAGAGTGACGCAGGTGCTCTTTCCCTCTCCAGACACACCGACCAGCGCCGTCGTCTGACCCGCCGGCAGCTCCAAAGAGAAGTCCTAATGACACATTGGATTGGATGCGCTTTAAGAGGAAGGACTCGCAGGAGGCAAATGCGCTCTCCCAATGGATGTCTCTGTCAGGTGGTGGTGGTGGTGGTGGTGTTGTTTTTGTTGCCTGGGACAGTTGCACCTTTCGGCAGACATTTATCTCGCCTGGTGGCAAAACGGCTCGCTGGTGGCAACTCTTTCCATGGAGTGAGACGGTCTCTGGCGGAGAGATGTCAGGATACGGTTCTAAGCAGACGCTAAGTGATGACGTAAAGATCCGCCTCAATTTGGAGAGGACCGTTCTTGTTTGACATCGACTTCTTTCAAAGGAGTGGTTCTCTGCCCAGAATTTGGACCCGAAGAGGCTCCCTTCTCTGCTTCGCTCAGTTTGCTTCTCGGGAATTTGTTCTTGAGGTTGATCAGCTTTGTTTCTGAGGGTGTTGCTGCGGTTTGATCGGCATCAGTTTTGAGAAGATCCTGCCGAGTTTCTCTTCGGAACCGGTCACATAAAGGAGCGCCGTCTCGCGCCTCCGTTTCTCTCGTCAGGATCGGCGTCGTGGCCCTTCTTCTCCTGGCAGATTGGACAAAGACACTCGGGTAGGCAGGGCCTTCTTTCTTGATGCCCGTCTGCTCCTTCTGTCGCTGGTTGGTTGGCGGTCGAGGACGTTGTCTGAGTTTTGCCACCGGGCAGGTGAATGGCGGGTTGCGATGCAAAATGCTCGTTCACCAGCCGCGCCTGGCAACAACATCAACAACCACCACCACCACCACCACTACGGCCAGGAGACACACCACCAGACCTAAATGGGGAGACTCCACACCTAAAATGAGGAATCGCGATTACAGTTCAAACATCTTCAACAGTCCACTTTTAGTGGGTTACCATGGCCCGAAGGGGCCTCGCAATCTCCACGCACACAAGAACAGGGACCTCGACTTGACTGCGACTCCCACCTGCAGCACTGTTACGTCGGGGTGTGCCGGGTAGGCAAAGTTGACATGGCGGAAGATGACGTGTCCGGCAAGCGACTCGGGTGCGAGTTTCCCATCCGTCCTGATCCGAGGCCGTCGATCCAGAACCTCGAAGACTTTCCCGGCGGCACCCACCGAGTTCAACATGTTGCCGCTGATGTGGATCAGTGTCTGGGAAGAGACATTTCCCAACATGACGAGTACCGACGTGCCTACTTTGACCCACAGCGCCTCGGCAACTCTGCTGAACCCTGACTTGGGGAGACGGCGGCTTTTTGTGGCGATACGCCCACATCAGATGGCATTTCCGAAGCTCAAACAGGGGGGGAAGGAACCGCTCTCGTATGCGGAGGCGTGCACTTTTACGGACCCCGGCGGATCACCGGTTTGAAAAGCACTGCGTTAGAAACCAGAGCTTTTCAGCGCCGTTACCCTGATGTTGTGTCCGATGTCTGACTGGTAGAGGATGAAGGAGACCAGGTTCCCGGTGGTCATCTGACCCCTTTGGATGAACAGCCTGCCATACCACAGCATCAGCACATGAACGGCCAAGCCTATCAGCTACACACACAAACAGACACACAAAACTATTATTATTATTATTATTATTGGCAGAAATTGACGCCCCCAAATCCAATGTTGCCAAAATAGTTTTACCAGCATCTTACCCGTTGCGCCAACAGGGATATGAACCTGACAGTTTCCCGCCGGGTCTTGACCCTGTGCGTGTCCATCAGCCGGTCGTCATAGTGACGGGCCTCGTGTTTCTCAGCGTTGAAGCTCCGCACCGTCCGAACGGCCAAGATGATCTCGTTAGCCGTCTCGTTTGCCGCCGTCATGGAGTCATGCACGGCCTGCGTCAACCGCTGCAAACGCAAGGCTGCGTCATTAGTGGGGGTGGGCGAGTCATCGATTTGGGGTGGGCTTTATTTGAAGATCACTCGACCAGCAATCTCATTAGAATGACCGAAATCCATCCATTTGACTGGACTGAACAGTGAGCGGAGCTAGCGACAATCAATGTACATAATTGGTCTGTCAGCTTTACCCGGTGCTTTTTGTTGGAGATGGTCTGGATGAAGCCCGTGACGGGGACCTCCAAGAGCACTAAACATGTTAGCATCCATGAGAGGTTCACCATGAGGGCCAGTGTGTACACCGTCTGGATTAGCGTCCTCAGCAGAACGTTGATGTTCAGACAAACTGTTTCAGCCATCAGGGGGATGTCTTTGGAAAGCAAGGAGGTGAGTTCACCTGCGGCCGGAAAAAAAAATTATACATATATTTTTTTGGGGGGGGGCACTACATCACACTGGTGAGGAGTCAGAGACATGACCGCTTGTTTGCTGTGCACTATTTTTGTAACGCGCTCTCTGCCTTACCTGTCTTTACGGTGTCGAAAAACGCCATCTCCTGGTTGGTCTGAACACGAAAGAGCTTCGCCTTCACTCTGCACTTGAAGGAGTTAATGGCCCACATGAGAAGACCCCCTCGGCTGCCGGCGCCCACCGCGCTGCGCAAACAAAAACAAGATGGGCGGTCACTTTACCAGAAGTTCTCGAACTTGGGTTGTCAGAAGGGTCTGCAAATGATTCGTGATTAACGTTTACCTACATAATGGGCAGAGGAAAAAAAACCACAATAAACCACCAACTTCTCACGAAAAAACACAGGAATTACTTTTTTTTTCTTGAAAATGGGCAGCTTTTTCATTCCCACAGGCATTTACGGGTGCACATGGTAATTATGTTTCATCGGCCCCTGGATTATGCAGGGCTCTGACGTTTTGGGGGGTCAGGAGATTTCTTCTCACCTTCCCACTGAGAACACGCCCATGAGAAGCAATGCTGACAAGAAGTCATCTGGCACGAAATCCTCACGCAGGTTGTCAATTACCTTGCCCGTGTAATACCGGATCCGGATCTCACCTGAGACACGCACACAAGAATAAATTCCCTCAACGGGCAGTGGAGTTCTCGACATTTCCTTTAATTCTGTTTTATTTGGAGTAAATTACCCCATGACTTGTAAATCACGGGGACGACAGTATACTCCTGATACAGCCAAACACACACACACACCCCTCCCCGCATTCATTTCCTTCATCCTCATCGCGAAACTGTGTAACTTACAGATTGCAGCCAGGGTGAGAAAGCAAATCCCTCCGAGCAGCAGAACCAAGTCCGGCCTGTACATCGAAACTGTAACTTACAGACTGCAGCCAGGGTTAGAAAGCAAAACCCTCCGAGCAGCAGAACCAAGTCCGGCCTGTACAGCACCCTCATAAACAAAACTCGCGGCTTTTGTCGCTTCTCTCTCCGGCCACTCAGAGAGTCTGGCACGCCAACTTCCCACAGCGAGGCAGCGGCCAGCGAGGCTCCGGCGCACATGATCCAGCAGCGCGAGACCCCCGCCGCCATCGACGCGCCGCACGGG